CTATTTATTACTTTAGTGACCTTTGGTGAACTTCTTGTGCGCTATGAGATACTACACATGTAGTAGTTGTAGTGTTGAAAAGTGTAGTCCTGGTGAAGCTTGCTGTATTACGTTGATCATTGTTTGTGCGTTGCGTTCATTCATAAACACAGTCAGCTAACCGTTAGCTGTCTTATTCGTATGAAAATGCAAGAACTAACAAGCACACTTTTCAAAAGAAATGCAAAGCTTAGAGATTGGATCAGCATTAACTACAGCGATGATATATTATTTTAAGAACAACCAATCCAATGCACTGTACCCGAAAACGAATATCTTTATAATGGATCACCGACACCGGACTCTCGGGAAAAAAAAGAAATCCTTCGATTTTTACTCATCCATTTTGACAAATTTTAATAACCTCATGCGCATCAAACAGACATTGAAAGTACCTCAAACCTTGCGTGACAGTTTGTCCTACGAGTAGGTCAGAGCTATGAGTCTGTGCTTTTTTCACGCATGGTATAAATACCGCATATCACCTAATATCACCGGACATCACTAAATATCCCTGCACATCGCTAAATATCACCGCACATAACTAAATAGAGATAAAAATGTGCCTAGTGCAACATTGGTGTTGGTTTGTTCCTATTGTGGGTACCATACGCCATAAGAGTGAAACAGGGGGGGGGGGGGGACTCCAGACTAGAGCTTGATCCAGGTCACCAAATCTGAGACTGAGAGTGGCGATTCGTGATTCAGTCGGCTTCAAAGAATCACGAGTTTGCGAGCGCTCGAGGAACACTAACTGCAGGGTCCCCACCAAATCCTGGAAATTTTTTTTTCAAAACGCCCACATTTTTTTAAGACCCCAATTTCGTGGGTAAAAGAGGGAGAGAGAGAGAGAGAGAGAAAGAGAGGGGGGAGAAAGGAAAAGAGAGAGAGAGAGAAAGAGAGAGAGAGAGAGAGAGAGAGAGAGAGAGAGAGAGAGAGAGAGAGAGATGCACACAGACACAGAGAGAAAGAGAGAAACACAGACAAAGAGAGAGTCAGAGATTGGTGATTGGTGATATGCGATGATATTTATTACTGATGTGCGGTGATATTTAGCAATATTCGGTGATATGCTGTGATATTTTGTAACATGCAGTTATATTCAGTGATATGCGGTGATATTTAGTGACATGGGGGTGATATTATTTAGCGATGTTCGGTGATATTTACATGTAGTGATATGCGGTGATATGCGGTATTTATACCCTCCTCATTTTTCACCATCTACAAACGACTCTAGTCTAAGCATCCCACCTTTTGGTCAACTGGGGAGGGGAGGGGAGGGGAGGGGCAATGCTTGTACGTACTGTAGATAATTCTTTGCAACAGCATGTACAGTATGACCTATTGGATACACGGTGTCACTTTCGGGTCCCCAATAAGAGGCCTTTATTACACGTAAACCAATCCTAGCACGTGTTCCAGGCGCGGTCAATGTCTGGTTCTGGTCCATGGCTGTTCCAATGAGTAAGAGAAAATGTGCGGAAGGAAAGCAGGGGTTGTTTGAAAAAAAAAATGAACATGCATTTTCATGTACTCTAACTGGCTTACCCTACAACTAGCTCTGATTCAGTTTATATTTCTCCAAATTTTGATCTCATCTATAGAGTACTCACTGTGCCAGTAAGCTAGTAGACTTAGCCAAATGTAGCTCTCTATAGCTACAGGAGCGTGTTGACGATGGAGAGAAAAAGAGGGGAAAGGGGAAGGGGGTTCTTGGTATATCTCTCCATCCGTCTCTCTTCTGCTTTCCACCTTCTCCTCATCCCCCCCCCCTCTCTCTCTCTCTCTCTCTCTCTCTCTCTCTCTCTCTCTCTCTTTCTCTGTTTGTCTCTCTCTCCCTTTCTCTCTCTCTCTCTCTCTCTCTCTCTCTCTTTCTCTCTCTCTTTCTCTGTCTCTCTCTCCCCATTCTCTCTCTTGCTCTCTCTTTATCTGTATGTATTCGTGTGTTTTGTATATTTATATTCTGCTCTTTTCATGTTCATAATAATGTATATGTAGCGCTGAAGAAAAGTTAAATTTTACTGGATATGTTTTACGACCCCGTTGACACAATTTAGATCATTTAGGGGGCGGGCTTCCCACTGTGTATGCCAGGGCCAACCTGGGCTGACGGGGATACTCGATAAAATTCTCTCCACTTGGGAATCGGACTAGGGTCTCCTGCATGAGACAGAGGGAGAGGACCGCCTGTCACACGACAGAAGCCGGAATGCTCTCTCTCTCTCTCTCTCTCTCTCTCTCTCTCTCTCTCTCTCTCTCTCTCTCTCTCTCTCTCTCTCTCTCTCTCTGTGTGTGTGTGTGTGTGTGTGTGTGTGCGCGCGCGCGCGCGCACGTGCGTGTGTGTGTGTATATGTTTATCTGTTGTCCCAACTCTGGTGCAATTCAAACAAAAGTTCTCGATATTTTCTGTTGTATGATCGATATCACACT